TCGAAGCCGTGCTGAAGTTTACTTACCTAGGATCCATAGTGACCCCTGACAGTCGTTCTTCATCCGACATCAAGCGCCGCATTGCCGAAGCCTCAAAGGCCTTCGGAGCCCTCCAGAAGGTATTTACTGACAGGTCTCTGTCCCTCTCTTGTAAACGACACCTGTACATGGCCTGCGTTTCCTCAATATTACTGTATGGCGGAGAGTGTTGGACCCCACTCCAACGGGATATCAGAAGTTTGGATAAATTCCACCATCAATGCATCCGCACTGTCCTCAGCATCATCAGTGGTCCGAGCGGCTGTCATCCACAGACCTGCGGAACCGTTGGGGAGACCCAGTACTGATGTCTACACGCCTCCGCAATCGGCGTCTGGAATGGACTGGGCACGTTGCGCGTATGGATGAGGATCGCACCCCTCCCCCCCCCCCCCCCCCTCCAACTCCTCTTTGGGTGGCTACCTGTGCCTCGGCCTTTTTGTGGTCCCCGGCGACGGTGGAAGGACACGGTGATGACTGACTTCAAGTTTTCACTGCAGCAGCCATCTCAGTGGTTCATCCTTGCTCAGGACCGCCAACAGTGGAGGGAAGTACGGGGTGCCCCTCAGTCGAGCTCCACCATGCCCAAGTCTGTGCATTGCGCAGTGTGTGACCGGAACTTCTCACGGGTCTCCGATCGAACGCGGCACAAGTGCACCACTCAGAGACAGCTTCCCATCCAGCTCCAGCGTGGATCAGTGCAGTGCCAGAACTGCCAGAGGTGGTTCCGCAGCAAGGGTGGCTACTCTGTTCATCGATGCCAGCCTGTCACGAGTTCTCCTACACCAACAGTCAGTCTGTCTGTGCCACTTTAAGCTTGTTGCCAGCAGCACTGCCCAATATGTCAGCAATGCTTCCGTTCTGCAGCCGGGTTCAAGCGTCACCACTGCAATCGTGGTGCGAGACCATCTGCTGCTGAGAGAGAGCAGCTCTGCCCCTCAGCTGCCCACATTGTAAACGCAATTTCCGCCGGCAGCAGGACCTAGCCAGACATTCGCGGTTCTGCCTGTGATCCGACTCCCGTTTTCTGGTCCCCTTTGAGTCCTAGGGGTGACACTTGCCCATCTGGGCAGTCATGCTGCTAGTAGTAGTAGTAGTAGTAGTAGTAGTAGTAGTAGTAGTAGTAGTAGTAGTAGTAGTAGTAGTAGTAGTAGTAGTAGCAGTAGCAGTAGCAGTAGCAGTAGCAGTAGCAGCAGCAGCAGCAGCAGCAGCAGCAGCAGCAGCAGGAGTAGCAGGAGTAGCAGGAGTAGCAGGAGTAGCAGGAGTAGCAGGAGTAGCAGGAGTAGCAGGAGTAGCAGGAGTAGCAGGAGTAGCAGGAGTAGTAGTAGTGTGTATGCGAGCGTGTGTGTGTGTGTGTGTGTGTGTGTGTGTGCGTGCGTGTGCGTGCGTGTGTGTGCGTGTGTGTGCGTGTGTATGTGTGTGTTTAGGGGGAGATTGAAGACCAAGTTTTTACTGTGCAATTCTCTACCTAGGGCAGGGTGTTGACCGGAACTGATATTTCTACGAAGTATGGGCTTGTACAATACAGACAGTCGCATTGAATACCAAATCATCTTCTAGATCCAAAAATGGGGGAGGTGTATTTTGGGTTATCTGTAGCATGACCTTGCTGTCATCCATCAGATCACTGTGCAAAAAAACAAAGTCCAAAATTTCCATCTATCCCAGAGTTATGGGTTAAGTAACTTAAGTTCATTTACATCACTTCATATGGAAAACTCACCTTTCAAATGCATTCTTCTCAGTACTGCGCGAAACTACATAAGCCCCCTTTTCGGATCCGGAGGCTCAAATAGGATCAGTGTGAACTTGTACACTGCAACCATTTTGCATACGGAATAGGACGGGTGTTGACGGGAAAAGAAGCGTGTGTGTTCTTCAATAGTTCTTCCCCGTCAAGTACTTGCTACTGGCCACGCTCACTCAAAAGCATTTGTGCGTGTATAGTTTGGCACGTCCCAGAGCATGCAACTCTTTGTATCACGAATGCTTGCTAATGATCCTCTCTTTTATGTTGGCTTGACATATTATAATCAGTTTTTGATTGCGGCGCATTCCGAGCATGTCACGTATGAGCGACACATTTCACTTGCTGCGTAATGCTTTGGACCCACCACATGATGTGGCCTATCTTGTTTATACGCGTATTTTGATGCGGGTGAATGCGTATGTGCTTACATCCGTGCTTTTATGTGTACCTGTGGCGAACTTCTGGGATATGATCGACCGTCGTGAAGGCAGGAAGAGGAAGAGGCATTACACCATTAGCGCTGGTTCACGCTGGAAGAGACCGGTTTCATGGGTTGCTCGCGCTATCAACTCCATATTGAAGAAGTTAACTGAAGGTAAGAGCACCGTGCATGTCGGTCTACGTCTTATTTTCATCAACTTTAGGGAATGAAAAGGGAAAGTAGTAGGGTCCCTCAACTCAAAATACGGTCTCTTTGCTGCATACATCACTAGAATGTTCACCAAATTTTCTGGCTTGGCCCGTCATCAGGGTAAAAAACAGTTTACAGTTTTCACCCTGATGACGAGCCATGGCCGAAGATTTGGTGAACATTTTAAATGATGTATGCAGCAGCAAAGAGACTCTATACTGATTGTGTGAGTTGAGGCAAACTATCATTTTTTTTGGCGTTTCGGATCTTGAGAGAACCATGTTCAGCTTCACAACAAGTCTCGTCTCCGGCTGCAGAGGCCACGCCTCAGTAGATATGGTGGAGGGGACACTCATTGAAAGGGACGTGAAGACGTTGTGGGAGAAAGACAGTCAAACTGAGAATTGGGTGATCAATCGAAAGGTATTCAAAAGCATGAACAAGACGTGAGGCTGAATGTGTCTGGCAGAATTCAGCCGGATATTTTTTGGCTGAAAAACGTTCAGCGGAAAGGCTGCGGAACTGAGCCGTTACCATGGAAAGGCAAAAACTGTCCGCGCTTCTGCAGTTGAATGTCTGAAAGTGTGCGGTGTGACCGCAGCCTAAGGTAGCTCGATACTAAGTCACAAACTGGTCTTCTGGGGCATCCGGCTTCTGTGCAGGTCATGATACTACTTGAAGCACTACTAAAGGCAATCTGGCTCTCACCCTCGGTCCTTCCGCCCTTCATTTTCGTGGTTTGGGCTTCCACTCGTGACTCGGCAGGTTCCTGGCCTCTCCGCACTCTGTCCTCACGAGAGGGTCGCTCTGGAGCTAATGCAGAGGGAATCGAGTCTCAGACGTCCACAAACGTTCGTTGTGCTTGACTTCGCTTCCACTGCCGGGAAATTAGTCACACTTCAAGCCTGCTTGCTGCAGCCTACACCTATGATACTAAATATTCCCTCATTCAAGCTCATCTCGATATGGCATGAATCCGTTTTTCTGCCTTCTGGCTCGGAAAGGAACACATGGAATGAGAGCCTCAGTTCCATCTCTCGTCTGCTAGTGCACTCGGGAGCGCAGCAGTGCTTCGGCATGACGATACAAGCCAAATTAAAACAACTCTAGCCAAAAAACTAGAAGAGTTGGTGGACAAGCCGTTGATTATTCACTCTCATTGTAATATCAAAAAAGTATTCTTTCTAGACCAAAGAGTGGTATATTTGATAAAATTTAATAACGATAGAAATATTTACGATACTTCTTCAGAACAACGAAACGTCTGGAGAAGTATCGTAAATATTTCTATCGTTATTAAATTTTATCAAATATACCACTCTTTAGTCTAGAAAGAATACTTTTTTGATACCAAAAAAACTAGCTCAAAGTTCGTCAGGCAAAAAGCAAAAGTCTCAACTCAAAGGGTCGGGAAGTCAGAGTCAGAAGGTCCACTTGCCCCGTCTACCCAGACAATATGTGTGCAAGTCATCTATTGTTGCCTACTCATCGCGTTTGTGTATTTGGAAGCTAGGGTTGGTTCCTCAACAACAAAAATGTATGATTGCGTAATACTTTCATGTGGTAAACTGCCTTACGTCCCAGTGACACTACTTCCAACATGCAGCATCAACGTCCAGAGGGGGGAAATCCCATGCCCTCCCCCCCCCCCCCCCCTCCCCCCTGCTATTGGTAGGTGTGTGCTAGTGATGGAAACAGCTGGACACAGATAGACACTTAGCAATCGACTTTTTCCTTCAATTAGCGGTGTCACTTAAGGTTACTTGAGAACGGGTTTATTCACAAAGCCAATTTTTTTAATTATTATTTATTCAACATCTCCTGGTTCATCGTAAGACTGCCAATACTTACGAGAAGCGGGGTGGTAGCCAACCACGGCGAACTAAATATTAAGGAGAGAAGCAAAAGAGAGTACTGCAAGGAGAGGCATGATGAAAATGGTGAGATTATTTAGGACGAAGAAGGAATTACGTGTGGATCTGGTGGACACAAACCGGTTGTACTTAGCAAGGTGTTTGGGAACCAGGTCTAGCAAGATCATGCGCACAAGGATGCAAAGATGTTGCTGGTGTCGCTCTAAAAGGGGTGATACTGAATCACTGAGGGTTACTACCTCTAACTCCTCTTTAAACTTTGCTCACACCTTGCCAAAGCTGATGCAAAGTAACTTTCAAACAATTGTCATATTACCATTGGCAGAGAATACCAAGAGTGTAGCCTTGCCGCAGACAACCAAGCAGGGGAAAACTGATCGAGACATTGTCGACGATGAGGAGGATGCTTGGAATGAGGAACATGATAGGCCCAAGGTTAGTAGTGACTTTTCTATTTTCTATATCTGTTTCTTTTCGGGTCTTTTTGTTCTGTCTGTCTCTTTGTCTCTCTGTCTCTCTGTGTCTGTGTCTCTGTGTCTGTCTCTCTGTCTCTCTGTGTCTGTCCATCTGTCTCTCTGTCTCTGTCTGTCTGTCTGTCTCTGTCTGTCTCTCTCTCTCTCTCTCTCTCTCTCTCTCTCTCTCTCTCTCCTCTCTTCAATTCTGTTCCCCTCTATCAAGCATTACTGCCAGTGCTACTGCTTATCCCAGATCTGTTGATGTACTGGTGCAGTACATGTACTGTTACAGTACTCTCATCTCCCCTTTGCCGTGTTACAATCTGTCGTGATGTGAATTGATCAAGACCAGTCCACCAGCTCACTCTGTTGCTTTACTACTTTCAATCAGAGTTGTAAGCAGAGTTGTTGGCAGAGTAGGAGAATGCCTAGGCTCACTTGAGACTTGAGTAGGTGCTCCTGTACAATTCCTGGATTACACCACATTCTCATTGTCACCTACTTCAAGTATGTTGACTTGGAGAGGTCTGGCGGGTCTTTCAGGACTTGTTTCATCAGTGTGATATTTGTAGCAATAGTTCTACCAGCATACAATAATTCTAGCTCTGATGTATGCTGTTCATATCCATCATGCTCAGGTAAAGAGTGTCGAGAAGAAGCTGTTGCCAGTCACTGTCAAGAAGTCGCGTAAAAAAAGATGTAGAGAAAAAAGAAATAGAGAGAAATATTCCATGGTAAGCACTTGATGTTCTCACTACAATAATATCTCTTCCTAAAAAGAAAAACAATTTTCGTTTCTCTCTTTTCAATTGAGCAAGAATTAACTTTTGATGAGAAGGGAACGAAAACGTTCGGTAACAAAATAGGCTTACTTGACTGTGTGGATTGCGTCGGTGCTGACACCTTTTCTTTCGAAATTGGATACGCCTCCAATTTTTTCCTTAATACAACTAATTTTTGGTCAAAATATTCTTTCACATGTTTGTGTGTGTGCGCGCGCGCGTGTGTGTGTGTGTGTGTGTGTGTGTGTGTGTGTGTGTGTGTGTGTGTCGGAGACAATACAATCCTTCCAGGAAGGATTGTATTGTGTCCAACCTTCGTTCTCGCGGCCTCGAGGGGGAATGGCGAGCTGAATGCGAGTCGCGTTCCACCTGGCGCTCGGCGTACTCAGCACCGGTAGATGCCCAGCATCCCCCCCCCCCCCCCTTTCCCGTCACCTGCTACACCTGCGACCGACAGTTTGCACGCCCCAGTGATCGCGCACGCCACAAGTGTAGGGTTGAGCGTGCGAAGCCGGTTGCGGAGCAGAAAGGTGCATACCAGTGTGGAGAGTGTGGCCGTTGGCTGAAGTCCCGTGGGGGTCTGGCAAGGCACAAGTGTACTTACCCCCAGTCAGCAGTCGGTGCGCTCCTGCCGCTGCCTGCTTCTCCGCTGTGCTGCGTCGCTCACTGCCAGGCTTGTGACCGCTGCTTTGCGTCTACACGTGGCCGCGCCCGTCATCGCTGCTCACGGACTTGTAGTCGTCCGACCGTTCAGGACCGTCAGGGTTTTACATGTGTTTGCGGCTGCTCCCGCCGATATCGCTTACCGCATCCCCTGGATCATCACAGGGTTGTGTGCTCCTCCTCTCTCTCAGCTGCCCCTCCGGGGCCCACGTAACCTTCATGGCAGTGGCTCAACAGGACAGGAGAGGACAGGACAGGACAGGTGTGTGTGTGTGTGTGTGTGTGTGTGTGTGTGTGTGTGTGTGCCGATGATTTCATAAGCACTTCGGAAGCATTCTCAGCCGATGGTTACAGAGGGACAAAATACCCCAGGTTTAATGAAGGTAGTTGGGAAACTTTTCTAAGCACTCGCAGACTGCATTTCAGCCACTCACACATTGATAGATCTGAGTGGAGAACCAGGTGTCAGGATGGAGTCTACAGTGTGGTATGCTCTCGTGTACAACCTGCCGTGAAACCACTCCTGTGTATGGTCTGCACACGCCGTTTCAGCCGTCCTCAAGACATCGCTAGACATAGTTGCACCTCCCGTCGCTCCGCAAAGGCAAAAAACAAACAGTGAAACAGCCGTTCACGTCCCGCCGGACTCGCAGGGCCTCATGCCGCGTCCCGGAGACAGCACTCCTCCAAGTCGCCCCGTTTGGGGACACATAGCCAATCGTGGCAGTGGGCGAAGGAAGGAAGGAAGGTGTGTGTGTGCATGTGTGCGTGCATACGTGCGCGCGTGCGTGCGCGCGTGCGCGCGCGCGTGCGTGTGGTTCTTCGTCGTGATGAGATCCGTATTGACAACTTTCATCATCAATGTCTACGGTGTATCCTGGGAGTCTCGCGTTGGGATCAGGAGTTGAATCATGTCCGGAATTGTGACCTCCATAAGCGTTGGGGGGATGAGGATCTGATGCCGGACACTATGCGTCGTCGCCGCCTCCAGTGGTTGGGCCATGTAGCTCGGATGCCTGACAACCGTCTCCCTAAGCAGTTGCTGTTTGGATGGCTTGACGCTCCCCGACCAGCTCAGGGACCTCGTCTTCGGTGGAAGGACAGAATACAGTCAGACATGAAACTGTGCCAAATTGATGAATGGTTTACTCTGGCCCATGATCGTCAGCAATGGAGAGATGCGTAACGCACTCGTGTGCAGCGGCCTGCCCCGGTACCGCTCTCTTGCCTGGTGTGTTAGAACGGACATTCAAGAGTAAATCTGGACTCGAACGACACAAATGTTCTGCTGATCGCCAGCTCCCTGTAGCGGAACAGCCGGACGCACGTCAATGCCATGCCTGCCTTCGGTGGTTCCGAAGTGCCGGTGGACTTGCTGTGCACAAGTGCACAGCACCCGCCCCGGCATCACCGCCCACACCCCAGCGCATACCAATCACCAGCCATCCGTGTTGCAACCAGCACTGCGCTACCTGTGATCGCTGTTTTAAATCTGCTCCTGGCTTTCGGCGACACAATTGCAATCGTGGACGGCGTCGTGGCGGAGCGGCTTCCTAGTGGCAGTGCTGACTTCTCCCGAACTCTCTCTTCTACTCTCCCCTGTCTCGGGGGCGGCGTCGCCAAGCATTTGGCAGCGTACACCAGGCCAGGTGTGTGTGTGTGTGTGTGTGTGTGTGTGTGTGTGTGTGTGTGTGTGTGTGTGTGTGTGTGTGTTGTGTGTGTGCTGTGTGTGTGTGTTGTGTGTGTGTGTTGTGTGTGTGTTGTGTGTGTGGGTGTGGGGGGGGGGGGGGGAGAGGGTGCGTGCGTGTGTGTGTTGTGTGTGTGTTGTGTGTGTGGGTGTGGGGGGGGGGGGGGAGGGGGTGCGTGCGTGCGTGTGACCACCAATGATTCTTTACAAACCAGTTGTTCTCATTGCCTTCTTGTGTGCCGGTGTCCGTGTGTTTACTATAGGTGGACATCGCCAAACCGGGTGGAGTGGAAATATCCGCCGCTCGACGTGCCTTGTTCCAATGAAACAAGTAATCCAGTACAATCATGAGTACACGACCCCCCAGAATGTGCAACTCAGCTTACACCTCTGTCCCAACACGTTTCGGAAATACATCATGGTCGCGATGCAATTCACCTGTCTGTATGCCAGATCATATTGCACACAGTCAACCTTGCAGGTCAAATGCATGCTCCAGTAACTCTAGTAGTGTGTTGTGTGACTTGTATGATTTGCTATATCTGAGCGTGTATTGTTATGGTTGACTGCCCATGTATGATGCTCTCCTCGTCTGTGCAGAATCTACTGTGTTGTTCTGTTTATGTACCTCACCTCATGTCTTGTATGCATTCCTGCCGCACCCTCCTCTCGCCCCTCCTCCTCCTCCCCCCCCCCCCCATGGTGCTAGCTGTGATCCCAGACCCTTGGCTGGGCAGTCAACCGCAGCTCACCAGCACAGCTCGTGTAGCGCCTACACACCCATTGTTGTGGTTTTCTTGTTTTGTCTTTGTTTTGTTTCCTGTTATTCCGTAGGTATGTGCACTGTGATAACAAAATTAATAAAAAATAGCGTCCCTCATCGTCGGCAAGACGGGCGAGGCTCAAGCATGATTCATACTTTCTTTCGCGTACGGGAAACGCGTCGTATTTCGAAAAAGTGGACTTGAGCTCAACTGATTTTACTCTGGCCCATCGTGCGACGATCACGCGATTGCTTGCCGTTAGGTCTACGCGAAGTGAAGTATCACTGCAGTGCCCCATAGCTTCAGATCAGCTTTCTCTCGGTCATATCCAGTGTGATGTGCCTGAGGGGTGCTTTTTTTCTTCTTCTTTTTTTACAAGATAACCACAAACCATCACGGTGCAAACTCCGGCAAAAACGCACAGAGATGCACATAGCGCTGGCAGCCGAAGCAGTGGAGGCGGGGCAAGAGCAGCTAAACCGACCAGGGGTCTCGGTTTCAGCACTGCTCATGCGCGCCAAACAGAAAAATACGAAAATGGAAAAAGTAATGAGCAGAAACACTACAGAGCCAATGGAGAAATTATTTTAAGGGTGGCTGCACGTTCACACACTATTATGCAAAATGGGAAGGAAAGTTGATGTGCAGGCACACAATACATTGACTGCATACGCCCAGCAGCAGGCATCCAAAGGCATACACTCAGACTCAGACATGCCCACGCGGAAGCGATGATACTCAACAGCTACATGTATGTTAGATAGCAACTTGTGCTAGGATTACACCATCCAATGGCTTGCAAGGCTGATGACCGCCACTATTACTGCTTTTTTAAATACTGAAATGCATACACACACACACACACACACACACACACACACACACACACACACACACACCACACACACACACACCACACAAACACACACACACACAGACAGACACACACACACACACACACACACCTGTCCTCAGCCAGTGTCCTGTCCTGTAGAGTCACTGCCGCAAAAGGGTCACGTGATCCCATCACTGGGAAACTTGAGAAGAGAGAGAGAGGGCACGACGCCCGATGACGCTCCAGGTGCATGGGTAGTCGCATCCGCTGTTGGTCTATGGGCCACCCTTGAACAGCGATGCCTGCCCTGTCGTTCCGGTAGCTCCAGATGGCACTGTGGCATCCACCGCCGAGGCACACACATGCCGGACCAATCCATGATCCACCGCGGCTTCTCAGCCACCGCCCACACCGACTGCACTGACTGGCGCCCCGCTGCTCAGATACAGGCCGCGCACGCTCCTCCAGACACTTATGCCGAGCCATGCCTACTTTCCGTGCGAAATCCCGTCCGCATACCGTACATACCACTCGGGGCGGAGGCTCAGGCGCATTGTCAGGCCCTTGGTAGGTGCTGCGCCACTCAGTACCAACCGTGGATGGTTGTGGTAAGATCACTGTTTCCGAACACGGTGGTCCTCCACCTTGTTACATGCTGTCAACCAACAACATGTACAATCATGTACATGTACATTGTGCAGTGTAGCTGTGCAACACGCACCCACGCTGTGAAGAGGATGTCGATAGGGTTTGGCCGAGGTGAGAGAGCTAGAACCGGCGTTTTCGACTTTCCGTACTCAGAGTCCTTAGCTTCCCAGTTTAGAGTCCAATTGGGTCAAGAGCAGCATATATCCACGGTAGAGATCGATATGAGCAGACACCATCCCACATGACGATCTACGAGCTAGTTAGCGCCTTAGCGGACTCATTACGTGTAGTCATCAGGGTCAAGAGCATGGCACTGAGACTGAGAGATCACAGACCACGCAGACGTCAACTCTTAACTGAGCTCGGAGTCTTCCACAGCAAAGATTCTTTGACGCAACTTTTTCTCAAAGTAAAAGGCCAAAATTAATGATCAGCGTGAATTCCCGTAGCTATGCAGAAGACGTTACTTCAGTAACGTCTGGCGCTAGCCAGGGTCCACACAGCTTTAATTCCCGTAGCTATGCAGAAGACGTTGTACTTCAGTAACGTCTGGCGCTAGCCAGGGTCCACACAGCTTTAATTCCCGTAGCTATGCAGAAGACGTTACTTCAGTAACGTCTGGCGCTAGCCAGGGTCCACACAGCTTTAATTTGGTGTTTGTTTGTTTGTTTGTGTCACGCCTGGCGCTATCCCGTATCTGTCCCGTACTGTACCGTACCAGCAAAGACAGCTGGCCACAATATTTTTGGCGCTATCCCGTACCTGTCCCGTACCATCAAGAGTACGGTAGAGGAGACGGCTCGATACCGGGACGTTTTGACAGCCAAATTTGTATAGACCCAAACCGTTCATCAGCGTTGATTTTTCACTCGAAATATGTTTGTGGAAGGAAACTGGCATGTTGAAGTTTGCTCTGGGGCCAGAGTCAATCGAACTGAGCCACTCCTTTGTGTTGACCCATTGCCTCCAAGTTGCCCAATTTTTCGCTTCAAAAAAGTTCAAATCAGAGGTGGCTCCAAACCGGACACGTTTTAGAGTGCACGTCAAATTCACTCTGGGTCTGAAATTAGGTAATTGCTATCGCTCCACGACGGCCAGTATAGAGTAACAATAAGCCTTGTGTGTGCTTCCATTAGTTTTGATTGGTATGCGGTGCTTTATTGGCGAGAGGCGAGCCGCTGTTTACCTGCGACAAGAAGTTGATTTTTCGAAAGTCGTAAAACTCAAGTCGCAGTGCGAAGCAACACGTCAAAAACTCACCTGCTTGATATGGCGCTTCTGGTCATCGCAGAGCCATGAAATTTTGGCTCGGAGTATAACACATAGTAGTCTCACTGTGACATATGTTTTCTAATCAAAATACCAAGAGAGAAAGTGAATATTGAGTCCGTTCCGGTTTGCAACCGGTGTCCTATTTGAAACCGTCCCCTCTACCATCAAGAGAATGAGTATATATGCGAAGTGTATCGGGGGAATCAAGAGTACATAAACCTCAAAAAAAAAAAATTTTTATTTTTTTTTTACCAGTAGTTACATACATGGACCATACGAGAAAAAGCAATGATGACGAAGCATAAACAAGTGTCTAGTGCTGTATGGCAGCTTCCGAGACAGCGAGTCGAGCGGATGACTCAGCCACCTCCGGGTGCGAATACAGCCGTCGTGCACCACGCAGGCAAGCCACGCCTGCACGGAGAAGGGCGAAGCTGAACCTGCAGCGGATCCATGCCATCACTGCAGAGTATGGCTCACCAGATTTGTCGGAAACCATTGCAGCTATTCTCTTGAGGAGAGCGGCAGCAGCTCGACCAGTACCACCAGTTGCAGCGAAAACCACAGGGATGAAGGTTCCACGCTCGACCTCCTTGACGCGCTGTTCGTATCGCCTCCGTTTTTCACGTTCATGACGCTGGTAGCAAGCGGTGATGGAAGAGGATCGATTTGAGGGAGCAAAGGGGTTGAAAACCCGAATATCGAGAAAGACTCTCTCAAACCGACCTCCCCAAACACCACTCGCCGCAACATCAAGTCGAGCCTGGTCCTCTGTGGAGGCAGTCTTGTAGCGGAGCTGCTCACCAGAGAGCGGTTGTAAGTGTGGCTCGATAGCGACACTATTGGCGACACGTTTCAATAGCGAGGCAGTGATGTCCCGCACCTCATTGTGTCGAAGTGACGGGAAACCTCCGGTGCTGCATGTCAGGGCATGGGCTACTGTGAAGCTGGCTCCACAGACACAGGTTGACGGTAAGCGAGAAGGCCGCCAGCCATAGCGCAGTGCCAAACCATCGCGGAACTCGCTTTTGGATAGCACAAATCCATGACGGGATAGCGGACGACAAGTGAGCCAGCTGGAGGCGCCAGGCTCACTTGCCAACTGAATTGTGTGCTGCAAAGTGGGCGATGCGTCGGCAGCGAAGCCACGGATGTCGGTCTTCGCTTTCTGGCGGTGATCTGCACGCTGTGACGCTTTGGCTGAGGCAATGCTGGCAAGAGCTTCCGTCACACTGAAGTCTTGGTCGAGGATGTTGGTGGTGAGCGCCGCTGTGATCGCGCGGGATGAGGCGTATTGGGTTGTTAGAGATGTTGGATTGACGATGCCCAGGCCACCATCCCGGCAAGGGAAGGCAAACAGCCGTCGCAGCTCCAGACTGACTTCTTCTCCAGTCAGGGCTGGCAGCAGCTTGGTAACAATGGCGTGTTCCAACTGATCAAGAGTACATAAACCAGAGTGTGCAACTCGGGATGGTTCCTGTGGGAGCGTAATTCGTGCACTACGTCATTTCTGACGGCATGGTAAGCCACAGGTACGGTGAAAAGTTGCGTAACCAGTCGCGGTGGTGCAGTTCACTGAGTTTGTCCTGATTTCGGTTTTTTGAGACGGATAGCCTGGTGACTTTACTTGTCGGTGGATGTACGCAGCGTACACAGTCACACAAAACACCGAAATCCTGAAACAGGACGTCTAAAAATTTTTTTTTTTTTTTAAATTTTCACTGAGCCTCTTGTACGGGCAAAATAACACATTTTGTGAAGAATCAACACATAAAACGAATCTTCTGACATGTCACATGACAATCGACATGGCAACAGCGAATCCTAGCGCGACTTGCCGTGCTTTGAATCAGCCACTGAAGACCTGTGAGCGCTTGCAGGTCTCCGATTTTCCAATCGGAGCACGCCCAGGCGTGCTCCGATTGAATCGGAGCACGCCTAGGCGTAGTTCGTGCAATGCATGTCAGAAATGGTATCAAAGCATTCGTACTCGGACTCAAGTGCTAGAATCGGAGCCCTCCGCGCTAGCGCGCGTCGGGCTCCGATTCCGCACTTTCGTCCTCGTACTCATGCTCGATTCCATACATCAGATACAGTATTTACAGAGTCTGTCACTCAGTAGGATCACTGCACTGTGCAGGTTCACTGGATGCGTGCCTCCGCCGCCACTAGCACAGCAGGGGACTCAGGCATGGCAGGAGCAAACATGCTCCTTGAGCCACTCAGGCACATAGCACCACAACGCACCAGGGCAAACCCAAGGCGGCAGCGCAGCAAGGAGATAACCTGCCCGTATGGCTCCTTACTCTTCTCAGCCAGGAGAGAGGCGATCCGCGTGAAAAGAGCATTGGCATGCTTGCCATAGCCACCAGAGGCAGAGAGCACAACGGGCACGAAGGAGGCATGCTCAACTTCACGTACTCGCTCCTCGTACTTCCGGCGCTTTTCCTGTTCATGGCGTCTGTAGCTAGCAGCGAGGGAGGTGG